TCAAACTTATATACTTCAAAGTATATAAACTTAAAGCTTTCTTTCTTAAATTACTGTCAAATCTAAACATTTCAATAATATATGTTTTCCTTTTTAATTAAAAAAAGCTCCAATTCATATATATATATATGTATATATATATATTACCTAGTTTCTCACTCCTAGGCATATAATATTCACTTTTGAAACTAAAATCATCATTTAAGTTATTTACCAAGAAGAAACATCTTAATTCTATTTAACTACATGCCCTATGAAACTCTGTTAAAGGATAAATTGCAAATTGGGCTCATTCATCTTAGTCGCCAATTATTCTAGGTGTCCATGATTAGGAACAGTAGTTAATTCACACCAAATCACCATCAATGTGCTAACTAGCAAGCCAGCACTTCTGCATGTCTTTATGACTAAAAAATGAAAACTGTGGAAAGAGATGGGAGAATATTTAAAGGTTTCAGAAATTTAAAAGGAAGAGCTGTTAGGATTTGATGATATTATATGTGGGGGAGGGTAATGAGTTGGGAACGATAGCCAGGTTTTGGCATGAGTGTCATTTGTGAGTCACATATGGAAAATTCAAGAGGAGGAGGAACTTTTTTATGTTTCTTTTCGGAAGAGGAAAGGGTAATAATGAATTGTTTAGGATGTGTCACATTTGAGCTGTCTGTGAGATATTTAACAAAGACGTCAGGAGGCCAATGGAAATACAGAACTCTATTCAAAGAGAAAGTGAAGTGGAAATATAAATATAAATGTGTGTGTCATTAAATACTGGTTGATAATAAAATCTTGCACATGAATGAGATCCTTAGTAAGTACAGAGCAACGCAAGAAACAGATGCCAGGGTATTAATTCAACTGCGGCTCTCCTAATTTCTTAACCCTTATGCTAATATTACCCAAATTTTGATGAGCAATTAACTCACTTTGCTCATGTCACCATACCTATACTAACATTGCTTTCTTATTATTATTTGCCTATCGTTTTAAAATTTCAATCATATTTTTGGCATCCTTTAAATTTGTTCTATTTATTTTCACTTGAAATTATGCTTTTAAAATTTGTACATACAGTTTCACATAGACCTAGTTCATTCATTTAACTAATGTGTACTGTCTGCATGAACCATGTTTACTCATTCCCCCCTTTGGTAATTATTAGATGTCTTCTCTTTTTTTGCTCCCAAAGAGCACTGCAACTAATGTCCTTTAACTCATGTAATCAAAGTGTTTTTATAAGGAGGTATTTACTTGGAACTCTTAGGTGTGCCCATCCTTATGATTTCTGGAAATGGGAAATGAGGTAGAGGACTAGTAGGTGAGTAGAAATGAGGAAAATATGCTACTGAAGGAAATAATGTATATGGAAAATACTATGCTTGAGCTGTAAATGTCATTCAGTTACTATTATTAACCTCTTTCCTTCTTTCTTTTCTAAGCTAACTTTGTTCTACTTAGTTTTTCTTCATGTAATACAAAAGGGACCAAAAAACAAACATTATTTCATATTGATGTTCTATCTTCTAGCTTTGGAAGATAACAGTAGTTGTATGATTTAAAAAAAAAGAAAGAAAGAAAGAAAAGAGAAGAAATCATGGAGAAATAAATTTGGGATCTGTTGTATTATATGTGCTATTCCTACAGTATCAAAATGCATTTTAAATTTTTAGAAAGCCGTAGAGTATTATTTGAGTTTATTTAACCCGGAGTTTGGAAAACTTACTTCACTTAGGAAGCTTTTCCAAACACACTTATTAAGAATTTACAGAACTAGTGGTCTGTGGAGCCAGCTGGAAGAAATGGTTTAACTCAGTGTTCACTGTCTGGCTGACCAAGCCCTCAGAGAAGCGTGCTGTGGTTTCTGCGGACCCCCCCCAAACCACCCCCCACCCACTCCCCAGACTTGCGCCTGACGTTACAACGTTGACTTCCTCCTTCCATTACATTCCCTCCACCATGTTGGTACTTCTAACCAAGCATATGCTGCAGAGAAAAACAATTCCTTTGGTCTCAAAATGCCAAATCCTAAGTGGATCTATAGAAGGTACACATTTTCTCTCTTTTCCTAGAAACAGGAACTTATTCCAAACAAAACAAGTTTTATTTCCGATCAGGTCCAGCCACTGATATCTTTATTTAACAAACATGATACAGAGCTTACTATGCGGTAGGCACTATTTTCTAGTTTTTCTAGTGATTTACAAATAGAAATTCACTTATGCCCTCAAAGATTCTATGGAGAAAACACTAATTATCCTTAGATTGCAGAAGGGCAAACTGAAACTCGAGAGATGAAGGGAAGCAGCAGAGCCAGGTGCAAAACCAGGCAGTTGCTGGCTCCTCTGTGACCTCATTTCCGTTTTCTGGTATCATTCTGCATTATTTAAAATACATAGTATATTGGGGCACATGGGTGGCTCAGTAGGTTCAGTGTCTGATTCTTGATTTTGGCTCAGGTCATGATCTCAGGGTCATGAGACTGAACCCCACATCAGGGTGGGCTCCCAGCTCAGTGGGGAGCCTGCTGTCTCCCTCTCCCTACGTTCTTCCAATCCCCTGCTCTCTCTCTCTCTAAAATAAATAAATAAATCTTTAAAATATGTATTATATTAATTCCAGTGTGTGTATATACATGCTTTATATACTTACATCTATATATTTTATATATGACATGTTTAATATATATCTATGCTTATTTATTACATATTATAGATATATTTATATCTATGTATATTGATATAGATATACATAAAGTAGTTGACCTGACAAGAATAGTTGTCTGAACTTTTATAATAAAACTGTCACCTTATGGTGAGATTTCAGATTGATTCAGAATTGTGCTAACCTAATCACTGTCACACTTTATTTTCTATAAAATAACAACAGAGTTAGGTTTTAGCATGTTTTTCTCCTACTAAATGTGTGTGATTGCTCTTAACAAACCCATTTGATACTATTCTTATTGTTGAGGTTTATTTATTTGCTTTTTAAAATACACTGCATTGTCTTACTCAAAAAAAAATATTCAATAAAAATAATTGCAAGGAAGTAGGGGAAAAGATCAATGACCTGTAATTTATATTTCAATAGAGATGCTAAAATAAGCTGCTTTTATTTTTTATTTATTTTAGAGGATGGTTTTTAGAGCCTTCTTTTGACAGCTACTATAACCCTATACTAAAGCAGGAACTGCTTGGAAAAAAATCTCCCTCTCCCAAAATATCAATAAAATGAGCAGGAAAAATTAGCTTCACCGCAGGCCACTTTAATGAGACACAGAAGCAAATCGGACAAGGCAGATAATATGATGCCTTTTGGAATATAATAGAGAATAGAATTAGCAAGTATAAAAGAAGTCCCATCATTGTGTAAATCAAACTCCCAGGGTGGGAGGAAAATCTTATATATCTATGAAAGATGGGCAGGTAGGCATGTGCCTATAGCTACAAGGGACTCGTTCTTGTGTATGTATTTATGTATATAAATGCAAATGTGTCTGTATATATTATCCTGTGCAGAGCATAGTATGCTATCACTGTTGTGAATAACAGCAAATAAATATTATTACTACAATCTGAATTTCCAGAGAGAGAGACACACACAGAGAGAGAGAGAGAATGTGAAGCTCTTGAATGTAATGTAACATTTCCCTTGTAGGAAAATCAGCTCTTTAAAAAAAAAAATGAAACTAAATTTTAGAGAAGAGTGAAGTGATTCTTATAACGAATAGTAACAGCCATATAAAAATTGAGGATCCCTCAAGATTAAAAAGTCCAATAAAAAAGTCATTTTTATTCTGACATACATAAAGTTTACCAATTTTTGTGATATTCTCATTTAAAAGAATAAGTAAAATAAATAAATAAAAGAATAAGTTACTGACTTATAAAATGCATTATTTAAAAGTCTACACACATAAAAGCAACACCTTCTAGAAAACTTAATGGGATCTTCTTTAAGAAGATCTTTATTATCAGATTTCATCAACTGTAAGGCAGACTGGAAAGATTTTAAGAATTCAAGCTCTTATACTAAATTCTTACTCCAAATCAGTTCCTTGCAATTAGGTTTTCATAGGGGATATTAAAAGAAATTATACACAATAGCTTTTTCACTTGTGTACTGTCTTCACAGTGTTTCCACAGCATCAGCGTCCTGCCACAAAACGTTCTGTGTTTGATGCGGATAGAAACACAACAGTCATTTGTTCATTCAATATTTATTTTACACCTACTATTCAACTATGTTCTACAGCTCCTATATGGCACTAAAGATACTAGACTAGACTAAAGGTACTAGACTAAAGCAGGAAAAGTGTAGGACTCTGGAGTTGGAGAGATACTAATTAGAATGTGAGAAAGCACTACTTTTAGGCAAATGATTACTCTCGAGAACTTTGGGGTATTCTAGCTTTTGCTGATTTAAATCTCACTCTAGATAGAGGTAAGATATAGATCTGGCTGACCTAAGCTATGTTATGCTACCCTCACCCCCACAGTCCAAGGCTGCCCAATTTCATGCACATCCAACTGTCTGGACGGCTGGCAGAATGTACCCAGAAGGCATATGTTTGCCGGAACCACAAAGGGTAGTCTAGGAGAAAACGTTAAGAGAGGCCCACAAACTGAGTCTCAGGACACTGAGTTCATTTCAGAGGACAGTGGCACGTTTAAGTAGAGCAGGTTAGGTGACTTAAGATTGTTTCCTAACCCCACAGTCTTTCTCAGGGACTTGTGTCAGAATCTGAGAGAAAGAAAAAGAGAAAGAAAAAAGACAAACACAAAATACAAGAGCTGTTTCACAAAATTCACAGGCAACACTAAAAACTCAAGGCCACCCTCCTCTGCAGCCCCCAAAACAGCAGGCAGCATCACAGCAAGGACAGAAACTTGTGGGGCGAGGTAAGGCACTCCTGGGGCATCCGGTGACCCTCGACGTTAGAGCAAAGGAGGAGAAACACAGCAAACACCACACGACAGGCCAGGTGCCATGTGTGTAAGTGCCTGTGAGATACATTCACAAGTGGGAAGAAGACAGGAGAAGAGGCAGGAGTCACTCCGGTCTTCCAGGTAAGGAAAATCTGATTTTACCTTCAGACACGCACAGCTATAGGAGATGCAGACTTAAAACTTGCCCTTAGGAAACTCTGTCGTGTACAGTTATTTTTTCCGGTGTTATTTCTTAGCCCACTAGCCAACCCATCTCCCCACACACATATGCACGTGAATGAAAGCAATAAAACGTCAAAATTGATGAAGATTTGTACTACGTAGTTTGCACTTAAACAAAATATTTCCATTTTGTAACACATAAATTACCAACTATATTAGGAATACATACGGCACAAAATACTCTTCTGGATTATCAAGAACAGTGGAGTTTCAGCTTTCAATCATGTAGTTAGTCTATTAGCCAAAGTGATGTTCTGGAATCAGAGGACACAGCATATTGGGATGCCACTGATGAGAAACCCTTGCCAAGTTACTGCACCTACACCACTTCATCAACAACATCATTATGAGTTCATGCAGAATTTCGGGGATACTGGCCCCTCCCCCAGAACCATCATAATGAAGACTTGTGGCTTTGCAAATACCTATCCTGTTGAAGCACCATTTCCTGCTCTGCTTGGTCCGGTGGGGGGGCTCCAGAATACAGTGGTCCTTGGCAAGTTGTGTTGCTAAATTAGGGTATCCTAGAAACAGGACAAAATCAAACCTTGATTGTCTTTATCTCTGTCCTCAAAATGTATTGTTGAGCAGTCCCTAGTACTGATTTTGGTTGTGTTTTTTTTCCCCCCTCTTACTTGGTCAATAGACATTTTTTAAAGCTTTGGTTATTATTTACTGAGCACTTTATGAGACAATGGGAGAAAAAAAAAAGACCCAGAACCTGCTTTCAAATACCATGTCTGGGGGACACAGCTTATAATACTACGATAACGTGTTTAGCAGTTCAGTATGCACGGGGTACTAGGACAGAAGCCTATAAAGGGACCCCTGTCATGGTCTCATCAAGGGGCAAAATTTCCATTTTTACAGAGAGGTCAGGATTTAAGTAGTCTTAAAGTTAGGGTTGAAGTTTATGAGGTTTGTAGAGAGAAAGAGAAAGCTAAGCAAAAGGAGGAGAATGCGGGTAGACCTGAGAATAGGAGAACACGGCATTTTGACGAGTGACAATCATTCACCATGGCTGGAGAACTCGTGTGTGCGTGTGTGTGTGTGTGTGTGTGTGTGTGTGTAAACAGACGTGGAGGTCGGAAGTAGAAACAAAGTCTAGGCCCCAAACGTGCAGTCTTTGTTCTAAGTGTATGTTCTAAGGTTGGATTTAATGTGCCCTAGAGAGTCACAGAAGGATTTCAAACAGATGAATAACAGGGTAACATTTCCTTTTAGAAAGTTTCAGTTTGGAATGGACAGACTGAGAGAGAAAAGCCAGTCAGGAGGGCAGTTCAGGAAAGAGGCAGCGGGTTCTCTCTTGGCAGGAGAGAGAAAAGTATCTGAGGGAAAAGCAGAAAGGCTTTTCCTTGGCAGGAGGCTACTGTCCCTCCTGTGAAGAGAAGGCGAGATTTCACACAGCAGAAATGTCAGTTCAGGTAAGTTAGAAAGACGTAAACAGGTTCAATAAAATATAGTTCATTATGCTATCAAAGCATAGTTTTCTCAAGAGAACAAGAAATATCACCCAGTGCTGGGGACAGAGGTCCTAAATCTTTATTATTATGCCCTCAATAGGACTTTATTAAAAGCACCCTAGGAATCTTTTCATAAAAATTAGGTGCTTCCCTTTGAAGTCCCACTTTCTATTTTAATTTCCTATGGCAGAAATTCCAGAAACTAAATGTAAGATTTACACGGATGAGAGGGAGGGAAAAAAAACAGAGAAGAGAGGGCTGGTGAGGTAACATCCGGAAGGCCGGTTCCTGGAATTCTCAGCAACACTCCTGCACTGCCTTTCCTCGTCTTTCACCTCATCGAACCCTCCACACCAGCCCAGCCTCTCACGCACATGTGGACACTTGAGTTTTGAGCCATAAATCTTGCAAAGTCTGTCAACTGACAGCCTAATAACATGAAAGGAGTATCTGCAAACAAGATGGTTTCGAGCCATTGCTCGTGACCCTGAACAAATCAGGGCCTGGTTCCCTTTGCAGGTTAGAGCCTCTCCTTTAATCACTTAACTGGGCAGATTGATGTGACACTTAAGAAATAAACCAAGAGGTCTCTGTTTTCCAGCTATCTACTGGTCTCATTTACTCTTTCCCTAACAATTAAGTCCAGCTTGTCATATTTTGAGCCTAATCAATGTATAAATGAGAGGCGGCTGATAATCTGGCCTTTTCTGCCCTGTATTAGTTATTCACAAAGAATGCAACCTTTTCCGGCTTTCTACCTCGTAATCATTGAGGAGCCTTCAAATAACGACACAGTGAGGTTAAGGGCTAAGGCGGTGGTTATCAATCTTGGCTACACACACAAAAAAAATAATCACCTGTGGAGTTTTACTGTGTGTGTATATGTTGTTGGAGGGAGTCGTATTTTAATATTTTAGCATAGATGCTTAAGACTCGAAGTAAACCTAATAAATCAGAATTTCTGGGTATGACACCCAGGCATTTTTTATAAACATTCACTATAGATTCAAATGCTCAGTCATAGTTAAGAATAAGAAGGTATCAGCAACATAATCCCAATTTCTACCAGCTGTGACAATGATTAATTCACAAAGCAATGTTTTCACTAGGGAAGCATGCAAAAATGCAGATTCTCAGGAACCACCAAGGCCTACTGAATCAGAATCTTGGGAAGTGCGATACAGAAATCTGAGTTCTGACACACTTCTTAACGAATTTTAGATTCACCTAACTTTTGAGAACCACTGCAAGGATTTCAAATAGCTGCTTTGTTTTCTGACTATGTCAACTCTAACAGATATTATTAGCACTTGGGGAGTTGGAAGGAGCCCCAAGGATACTCACAGGGACCATGCCAAATTATGATTCCAGATATTAGTGAGGAAGGAGAATGCAAAACACACACACACACACACACACACATCAAAAAGGAGATAAAAATAAGTTTCCTGCTTTAATAGAGGAGATACTACTCAGTGGGGAAAATAATCACCAAGCAACCTATTAAGATTACAGATTAATAGAAAGAGAAGAAATGCTAAAGGGATGCATTATCTCCAGTCTTTTTTGAGAGTCGTCTTTCTAGAAGTACGGTGCAGAGACTAAGAGCTAATTCTTAATTAAGAAGCCGTTCTTGGCAGACCCCACCTAAATGCCCAAAAGTGTAGGCCACAGTTGTCCTAAAACTAAAGGACACAAATATCCTCAACGTTTGCTAACTATATGTAGGATTACACTTGAAATGCTTCATATGATCATTACCTCTCATATTTTGCCTTCCTGCTATCTCTACAATCTTTCATACAACACGAACCCTTTTCCAGCAGGTGTCCACATAATATTTACAGTAAAATTGGAGTGACTAGGAGACCCCAAAAAGGGAAAACCACCTAAAAGCAAAATAAAACTAGGGCATACCAAAAAAGGACAATGGTGATTTGGGTTGACAGTGTTTCTGCTCTCATAAACACTGTTCCCACCATGGTGGGTAAACTGCCCGTTTCCCAGGTGGCAAGTGCAGCATATGTTCATGGAGGCAAAGGTTCACAGTCTTTCGCACCTACAGAGTAGAAATGCCTCACGTTCACTCTGCTCATTACTAGTGGGTCCTAGGAGATGACACAGGATCCCTGGTGCAAACACGAGGAGGACCATTTACCTTAGATCATAATAGAAACTATAAGAAATATCCAGTAAATTAAAAATGGGTGTCAGCATTAACATTATGTGCTGACTGTCCTAAAGAAAAAGAAAAAAAAAACAAAAACACATGGTTTTCACAAGAGAATACTTCCCTGATGTCACAGACTTTGTTACTAAGGCTTCTCCAGTTTCTCACCTTGAACACCCTGTCCTGAAAACTGACCCCTCTATCATAAAGCTAGCTGGTTTTTCTTCCAGAGTAAGGCCTGTCAGATCCCATCAAAAACACTCCAAATGAGACTGCTCAGACAGGCAAAAACTGAAATTAAAACAAGGAAAGGTGAGCAAATTTACTGGAGAAACCACACGTACTTATCTTTAAAGATGAGAAGAGGGGCGCCTGGGTGGCTCAGTCAGTTGAACTTCCAACTCTTGATTTCAGATCAGGTCATGATCTCAGGATCCCAGGATCAAGTCAGGTGTCAGGCTCCCAGCTTAGCATGGAGTCTGCTTCTCCTCTCCCTCACCCCCGGCCCCTCCCCTGACTCAAACACACTCTTTCTCCCTTTCTCTCTCTCAAATAAATAAATCTTAAAAAAACAAAACAAAAAAAAGATGAGTAGAAAAATAGTCATAGTATATTTTAAATAGTATTTAAACATACAGAGATTTGTCTTAAGCTAAATCATTGGCCAGGTCGCAGTCCCATCCCTAGCCTGCAGTGGTTTAAAGAGTCTGCTACAATAAGCAAGTTTCCTACCAAGTGATTGGAAGGCTAGTGCAAATGAGCCTATGTTGTACAGCCCATAGACCACAGTATGTTTCATTTTAAATAAAGAAGGGCCAGGCTCAATCCAGGATCATCCCTGCAGTAAGAAGTATCTCCCCATTCCCTGGTGTTATACCTACTGCCCTGGGGCTGGGACAGGACAGAGAAGTGAAAGTCCAAGGTAATCTCTTGGACTTAAATGTCCTAGGCTTCTCAAAATGTTTTCAACCCCCTCATCCATCCTAATATTTGAAAGGTGACTTTCCCCTGATATCTGGATTTGCAGCTTCAGGCTATAGACAAACAGCTAATTTCTAACAAGTATTTGTCAACTGAAAGACTAACTAAACTGTGCTCTTGGTTGTGACAATTTACAGTCCTTCAACAGTGCATTCAGAGCAGCTCAGCCAAGCTTTGTTTCCATCAGTTTGGTTCAGAATCGGTGACTGAATGGAATAAACACAGAATACTTCTTTATCCAAACCTGAGTTGTGTTTGAAGGGCATCTTAGACCAAGGTAAGTAACAATAACAACTAGAATTTATTGGGTCTTTCTGTGGGCTAAGAGCTTATTACCATTTATTCTTCTCACTAACATTGTTACATTACATCACTAACATTGTTACATTACCACCTCATTTTTTAGCTGAGTTAAGTGAAGTAATCTAGAGGCTAAGTAACTAGTTGAGGTCCCATAACTGGCTAAAAAATGTTGAAGCCAACTTCAAATACAGTCAATCTGATTCCAAAGACCTCTTTTAACAATTACACTATTGTGTCTCATTTACAGAGATGCAAAACAATAATGAAAAAGACCCTAGAAAAATGTGAACATGATATTTTGTCAAATTCACTGTGATACTTTACAGTTATTGCCTAAATAGAAGATCTTAGGGGCCATGAGTGTCAGAATAATCTAGAAACAGAACTCAAGACCTCTGTCTCTGGAATTTTTTTTCCCTATATTTCAGATTTTGGATTTACAGTCATGCTATTAATTTTATATTTAGTGGTTGTTTCTACATTAAAGGTATGATTGTGCTCACCTCCCTCCCCCTTAAGTATATTCTGTGGGGGATATTACAGATATTGTTCATATAGATAATGGTGTATGATTTTAGCCTGAGGGCTAAACAAGAGGTCCTGTTTTCATTATTCTCTTGGGACAATAAAATTAATAACACTCAGCAGGGTCACTAGACTCTTGTCAAACCAGCCATTGAGTCTTTTCGCATTCAAAAGATACACTGCTATAATTGACCCAGGACTATGTTTTAATTTGTGTGTCCCAACGGGATTCTTGCCAGAACATCAGATTAAAACCAATCCTAAATAGCTTTGCCATTTGTTTCAAAGATGAACATAGCACTTTAATTTTACAAATGGTGTGTAGTTGTCACCAGAGTCCAGGGCAGTCCAGACAGGGGCAATAAAACCATGAGCACAACCTTGAAAATCTGTAGAAATCAGTCAACAGCCTTAAGTGGGTGTCTATGAGGTTTGAAGCCATAGTAACAAAGTTTCTTACAGAAGTCGCATGAAATATTTAAATATTCAGTGTCATCTTCAGATTATGAGTCAGGTCAGGTTTTAATTTGGAAAGTATGACCACACTTTACTTAAACATAACACCAAAACAAGAGCTTGATTCTTTTTTTTTTTAATTTAAGCCCTGCAGATCTGTTTCTACTCACATTTATTTTTCTTTGGTCAAAATATCATGAAACGAAGAGTTATAAGAACAAGGATAATGTAGTGAAGGAGTCCCAAATGCAAAGACCTAGAGAGGTCATTTGAGTGAGCGATACAGGCTGGTGGGTCAGCAGTGAATGTCTAGAGGAGCAGCCAGTACTCCACTGCTGCCCACTGCTGAATACAGAAACGGGGACCCTGAGTCCTAGAAGTTATACTTTTCAAGAAAAGTGAGAAATACAGATTTTTAGATAACAGTTACTGACATTTAAATTTGCAATTACTTCAAAAATAATTTGAAGGAAAAACAACCCCAAAAACTGTGTAGGCCAGATTTGGCCCTTTGGTTAAAAACTTCTGTTAAAAAAAATTTAAGGAATTTTTCTTTTATCTTGTTTTCCTTATATGAATTTTTCGTATAGAAAACAAAGCTAAGATGGGCACCTGCATGGCTCAGTGGGTTAAAGCCTCTGCCTTTGGCTCAGGTTATGATCTCGGGGTCCTGGGATTGAGCCCCACGTCGGGCTCTCTGCTCAGCAGGGAGCCTGCTTGCCCCTCTCTCTCTCTGCCTGCCTCTCTCTGCCTACTTGTGATCTCTGTCTCTCAAGTAAATAAATAAAATCTTAAAAAAAAAAAAAAGAAAAGAAAGCTAAGTTATTCAGCACCTACGATGTTATTGGACTGTATGCAACCTTATGAAATTGGTTTCCTACTTCTATGTGTTCAGGAGCAGAATATTTAAACGATTTCTGTCTCTTTTGCTCACATGTAACAGGCTCATAATATAGCCTGCTTCTCAGAATTGTGACAATGGGATGACATGGTACATGGGAAGAACCTAGATTGGTGCCTGGCATATTATAAACAATTTTAAAAATTCAATATTATTATTGTTGTTATTGTTTTTTTTTTGTTTGTTTTAATGTACTGAGTGTTGTTCTAGGTTCTGGGAAGCAAAGATGAATAAGATCAGATCTTTCCTTTAGACAGATTAAAACTCAGCGGGGAAGAAAAATAAAATGAATGATCATAATTCAAAAATAGCCTTCCATATATGCCTTCTTAGAATTTGGTCTAGAGTTTTCAAATGAGTATGCTTACGATCTCCTCAGTTTTCAGCTCCATGTATGTACAATGTAAAAGAAACTCAACTTTTGATTTTTTTGTGATGCCAGATGTGTTTTCTGTGAGGTACCTTCTATGTAGAATGAATGGGAAGACAATTCACGGGTTATAAAGAACAGTAGATTTTACATGTCCTGTATGTAATTTGTCTGAGCAGGGTTTTCTCGTATCTTTACTAAATAATCTTCTTTGAATATTGTCCTCAAAATTTTTAGAGATAAGAGTTATAAATCAATATAAGGAGATTTCAGGAGATGAAGAGTGAAAATGACAGTGAACAAATACTATCCTAAAGGACAAAAAGGCATCAGTGAACCACAGCAAAATTACCCAAAAGGACAAGGTACATAATTTAAAGGGAGAGGTATTTTTCAAATGTCCTGAGTGAAGGAGGCTCATTTGCAGTTTTGGGCTTATTTAATAACATTAAGCAAGAACACTTAACTATCTACAAGAAGGACCGAGAGCATAAATCAGACATCAGTCCACATATTTCAAGATCAAAGCTGTAAAGCAAAATGATTTGTGGGAGCAACTAAACAGTGTGAATATATTATAGCTTTTCAGAGAATACTTAAGCATATTAGTTGTCCAAATTAGGATTTTGTTGTTGATGGAGTCAAAAAGAAAAATATATGCCATTGAGATTTCTTCCTTCTCACCACAGGATACTTTCAGCAAAAATAAAACTTTTTCCAACACACCTTAATTATGGATTATCGATACAGATATTATTCATTAGAAAACTCCTAACTTTATGATCAGGAAAAAAAAAACCCAAATTTCCAAATAATTCTTATGGAAATAATGTCACATTTACCAGAACTATAATTTACATCAATTATGAGATGTAAAGAAAGAAACTAAGAACCATAATCCAGCACCAAAATGCAAGACAACCACATGAGTATTTAGCATTGGTATTTACTATCTAGATTGTGTATGACTTTTGGGCCATACTTTGGCTATTTTTTTTAATATTCCAATAAAATTGCATACTACTCTACAACGGAAAAAATATTTTGAATCCTAATTTTCTTTCCATTTCACAAACAGCTGACTTTGCCACAATCTGAAAAACATGTTGAAAACAGCATGCATGTGTTTTCTTGCATTCAGTGAGTGACTGCATAGGTCTCCCTCTCTCCCCACAGCTACATTTCTTTTGCACTTGCCATAGTGTTGCAAAGACACCAGAAGGAACAGAACCGAACTCTCTTGCATGTAATTTGTCTAAGTCAGAGTTTCCTCATCTGTATTTTCACTGGACAGTAGATACTCAGTAATCATTTTAAATATATAACATGAATTATTTGGGGTTTCAAGTAACATACTGGAAAAGTCCTAAATACATGGACTATCAGGGAGGGGCAAAAAAACACATTTTCAAAAATTTCCAGGTAATTTTTACCCAAAGGTCTGCATTATTTTGTCATTTTGATTTTGTTTTTCCATAATACATAAGAAGGAATGATTCTGGACTCAACATGGTTTGAGCACAGAATCTGGAGCCAAACTGCTATTTCTAGCTATACAGTATTGGCAAGTGATTTGACTTCTGTGCCTCAGTTTTCTCCTCTATAAAATGTGGGTATCAATAGTACTTATTTCATTGCTGTGTGTGTGTGTGTGTGTGTGTGTGTGTGTGTGTGTGTATTATTTGACTTAACATAATAAAGCACTCAGAAGAGGTCCTGGCACAGTCACCACTCTTTAGGTGGTGGTTGTTATTATTTACTCACAATAGTAATTTCATATTACATGCACTGGCTTTGTTCACAAGGTTTAGTTAAACCAGGGAATTAGCGAAATGATTTGATTCTGGTTTTCAGCAGTGCCTTTAAAGGTAAGAAGAAAAATTACAGGATAGATAAATGTACAGTTAGATACATTTACAACTAATCAAATGACATCCAGGCAAGTTAGTGTAAACTGGAAAGAAATCTTCAGCAAAATAAGAGCTCCGCTTTTGTCTATTTTATTTGTCAGTATTATCAACAACAAAACTAAGGTTGAAAAAAGTTTAAGCAAAACAAAAATCTTGGAGAAATAACTACTATACTGAGGAAAATTGTAGGATCACTCTTCAAAAAGATGGCCAAAATGAGTACATTTAAATTTAACAATGATAGATACAAAGCTGCTAAGACAAGCTGACACACTCTGTATGACACACACGTACAGTAAAAGAGAAATGGTTCTAAGCCGTTTAGATAAGGGTCTTGGTAGATCATGAATTCAGCATGAGTTAACATATTACATCACTCTCAAAAGAGTTTGTGTAGTTTTTGAGCAGCATTAATTAGTCACCTCAAGATGCTAGCAGCCTCACTCTCTGTAGCATGTGGAGCACACGGGCTGTTTTGATGCTGAGCGCTACAGCTGAATAAAAGAGAGGGTCTTGGGGTTGGCAACCAGAGTGAGGCAGAGTCTAGGTGATACATTCTGTGCCTGAAGCATCTGGAACAGAAATATTTCAAATAAGTGCCTTCGATTATTTGAAGGATTATCACCGAAGAGGATTTATACTTATTCTGTACAGGTCCAGAGGCAAAATGAAGTAGTATTACAGGAAGTTAGCTTTTTGGCTCAAAATGAGAAAATATATTATCACACATAAAGCTGTTTCATGGACTGCTTTGTGAGACACAGTGTTCCTTTTTTCTGGAACTCTTCAAGAAAAGTCTCTATAATGATTTATTTCATTTAGTCAATCAACAGCATTTATCGTTTTGTGACTTTTTACATGGCAGTGTATTAGTTTTGGTGAGTAAAATAATGAATCAAGAAGGACATCGCTGTTTATTAAGTGCTCACTGAAAGCTTGACACTGTGCTAGACACTTTGAAATACATTATCTCACTTCTTCTCATACAGGTAGTATATTACCATCCTTGCTGCAAACTCTTCTCATACCGCAGCCAGAGGGATTTTTAGAAAGTAAAAATATGCTCATGAAGTCCCTGTCTTAAAGACGTTAAGTCAGTTTCCCCCGCTCCTAAAATAGACAAGACTTAGCATGACCTAAAGGACTCTGGGTAAGCCCCATCTTAAATTCAGCCTCTATCCAGTCATGCACCTGGTTCTCAGGTGCTTCCACACCCATATTCCCTCTGACCACAGAGCTTTTGCACACAGTTTCCTGCACCTGGGAGCATGTTTCCCACCCATCCTGACCAGTTCACTCGGGCTTTTCCTTCAGAGCTAAGTTCAAATAGTGAATTGTTAGGGAAAAAATGAGAAAACATAACCTAACCCCCACCCTCCCAAGTATGTAAAAATCTATCATTCTTTCTCATAGTATTGTGCATGTCCTCTTCACAGCACTTACTTACTCTTTGTAATTTTATATTTGACAATGTTGCTGTTGCTGTTTATTGGATGCGCGTCTTTCACATTTGCTTGAAAGTTCCAGTAAGGCAGAACCTGTGTCTAATGTTGTTCATTTGAGGAAATGATAAAGCATGCTGACTATGACAACAGATTCTGGAACCAGACCACCTGGGTTTGAATCCCTGTATTGCTATTCCTTGCCATGTGACCTTCACGAGTCCTTAATTTCTTGGTACCATAATTTCCTTATTCATAAAAGGGGTTAATTAATAGAAGCTGCTGTGAGGATTAAATGAGTTCACACATGTAGAGCCCTTGGAACACTGCCTAGCATATAGGCATTCCATAATAAAGACTATTTTTTGTTTGTTGTTGAATCCCAGAGTTCTACACAAGGCCTGGCACACAGAAGATAATATTTGCTCAACAAATGAATGAATGATGAAACCGAGATGGCAGATTTAGAGATGGATCTTGCCTTCATACTTAGGACTCCCAGAATCCAAAGATGCTTGTTATGTCCTCCCACTAGATTACAGAGGAGAGGCAACAAAATGCTACAGGAACATAGCAGAGGAAGCAATGAATTTCACTGGGAGAATGAGTCGAGGTAAATTTGAGCTTACCTGTAAAAAAAATAAGTGAGATATCAATAAGTAGAAACAAAAGTAAAAGACGTTTTTGGTAAAAAGAAACACTGACAAAGACACTGAAGCAGTATTTAGAGAATCAAGAATAGTCTCAGGAGGGGGTACCTGGCCGTCTCAGTCACTAGTGCAGGCAAGAGTTGATCTAGGGGTCATGCACTCAAGTTCCACACTGGGGACAGAGCTTACTTTAAAAAATAATAAAATAAAAAATACTTTAAAAAATGAATAGTATGAGGTGAGTGAATCTAGGTTAAATTATAAAGGTGGTCATGAATAAATTAGCAAATGATCAACACAAATGCAAAGAAATGGGAACTTTATTCTGAAGAAAACTGAAAGTCATCCAAGCCTTTGTTCAAGCCACAGTCTTATGAGTTGTCCATTTGTTTTTTCTGTCTTATGTTTATGGAAGGATTAGACAGTTCACTAGAGACAAGCAATTATTTGAATTAATATTAAAATAGCCCAAACAAGGTATGATGAGAGCTTTGCCTCTAGGAGTGGCAATGGGAATAGAAAAGAAGGAATGAGAAAGCAAAACTAATTGCCCCCAAACAAGAGCTCTGTTGCGTTAACTCCGGTACATTCAAATGGTAGGATAGTATGCAGCCATTAAAGTACTGCATAAAAGATTATTTAACTACATGAAAGATTCTCACATCACCAAATAAAAAAGCAGCTCTAAAACCATCACACAGTATGATCAGTTTCTATACAAAACATATATATTGTTCATATATATTACATCTTGACTATTATACACATTTACTTTTTTAAAAATGCAAGACTGTATGCCAAAATCTTACTAGTCTTCTTCTTTGGTTAGGAGAATTAAAGTTGTGGTTTTAATATTATTTTCTTGTTTAGCTCTTTTTCCCCCCCCAGCATATCCCCAATGAACATGGAATCCTTTTGTAGGAAAAACAGACGAAAACATGACAAAACATATTGAAAAAAGAAAAAGTAGGGTAAAATGTCAACAGAAATTCTGGGAAGTAGAATGATCAAAACATGGAAACAGTTGCATAGGGACCATCAGGAGGAAAAGGGGGAGATTCTAAACTGATCTCAACATGATCAGGATATCACACCATTGGGACAGGAAAACACGACAGCATGATCAATTTGTCCCACACTACAGTAATAATCCTGTTATTCGGCAACAATTCAATGGCTTTGTTCACTAATCATACACCTTTCTCCTTTGCAAAGACAATGATTGTTATTGACATTGTGTTTTTTTCCCATCACTAGAATGCGGAACGTATATGAAGCAAACCAGATATCAGCTTTCACAGAAAAAAAAAATTGAATTGTAGAATTACCCAGGATCTTCTGAAGATTTACCAATGGAGGAAGCAACAGTCACAACCTGACAGCAACATAATATTAAACTCAGACATTGGGGCTTCAGACATTTTATTTTATTACTTTTTTTTTTTCTTTAGAGAGAGAGAGAGAGAGTGAGCGAGCATGAGTAGGGGTTGAGGGCGAGAGGGAGAAGGAGAGAGAGAATCCCAAGCAGGGTCCACAGTGAGCCTGACATGAGGCTCAACCTCATGTCCTCGAGACCATGCTCTTAGCCAAAACCAAGAGTTGGATGTTTAACCCACTGAGATGCCCAGGCACCCCAGATTTCGTCATTTTAAAGACTCTTGGGCAGTTTTAAATAGTAACAAACTCTGGCTTAAAATAATCAATTCTACCCAAGGATATTGTATCTAGGACTTTTACTTTGGATAGCTCAGAAGAGTTTGTGTACCATTTCCAGTAGAAAGACAACTCCAGAGGAATTATCTAATAGTATCAAATTTCATTAGCATAACTGATTGAGCTAAGACCAGCAATGGCAAATCACCTAGGAAAACATGGTATTCTAATAAGCTGATGTCTTGTTGTTTTCTGAGCTATAAACATGACATCTCATCATTAAATTTCATTCTTAAATATCTGCAAAGATAGAAAGATGCTGAGAGCATGCTAATTTATAACAAAGAGTATGAAGTGTCCCATTCAAAGAAAAGAATCAGTTTGAAAAAGCACAGATAGAAATACATTTTTTTCATATCTGTATTTTATCTGAGTGTTTTTATAAAATTAGGCATTGTGATTTTGGTGTTACTATCAATCTATATTAGTTTAAATATACATCTCTATCCTTGACCTCTCACCCTTTCTCCAGTTCCATTTTTCTCACTATCTACAGGACAATTACTTGGGCACTCCTTGTCTGAATCTATTATCACCCCTTCCTAGCATGTTCGTTGCCAAATATCCTCATTACCACTTATCCTT